TCCTAGTTTCTAGTTCTAATGCCCTCTGTGGCACACAGATGCCTCCCAAGGAACTTACTCCCTTGCTCCGCCCCTAATTTTCAACTACTTAGCCTAAGACTGCAGGCACAAAATACATCTTTCTGGAAGAAAGACGCCGCCTAAGTGTAATAAATAAAAGATGGTGTTAACGCCACTTAGGAGTCGGTCTCTTAATAAGCATCAGTTCAGACTAATTACTCCAATAAATCAACATGGGGATGAAAAGTTATTAGGGAATTGCCAGGCTGCCCACCACAAGCCCTCCCTCACGGAGAACTGGCCCTGCCTTCCCAGTGCAAGGCCAAGGACTGCACAGATGTTTTTAAGAAAAAGAAGAAGATAAGAGAAAGTTACCTTCTAGCCCACATTTTTCTCCTAAGGATAAGGTTTCAGAAGTAATAGTACCGTCAATGAAGATTTAAGTTTGACTCGAGCCTAGTAAACTTAATGCCACTTGCTTTTTTGATGAGCAAGCTGGTTAATAATTAAACACATGAAGATGATCTATTCAGGATGGATTTAAAGCATGGCCATAAAAACCCTTAAGCACTCGGCTGACATTTTGTTGTGCTGTAAAGCACAGCCTGCCAACAGTCCCGAGACGATGGCACTGACCGAGCAAGCAGTGGGAAGGTGGTTCCTGCCGACTATGGATGGGATCCCCCGGATGGGAGACTATTCTCAATTTCATCCATTTTACATCACACAACATATGCACACACATGCACACACATATATGTGCACACATTAACCTGTTCTCTCCACACAAAAGACAGTGTCTATCCACAAGCTTGGAGTGCTCAAGCACCCTACCCAAGTCACTAATGCTGTTGCTACTGACATTTCACCGGCTTAGTGCCAGAACCAGGCAAGGAGGCGCTGAACCCACAACCAGCTGGTAACTCATCCCATTGAGCATTCCCAGACACCTCTACAGTGTAAAGGGCAGGGGATGCTTGACTCCTGGACAAAGACCCAAACAGACACTACTTACCACAGAGGAGATTTGATGGGAGAGAAAAGAAAGACAGAGCCTTGACAGGATGGAAGCAGATACAGGTTACAGCTCCCAGGAGGAGGTAAGTAAAGGTTAGGTCTCACAAGGAGAAGGGGAGACCATGAAAAGAACACTTCTTTCACAGGCCTCTGCAGCCTTCCAATCTCTCAGGAGGCGCCCTGGCCTGAAGGAGCTTCTACTCTGACCCCATAGAGTTCATAAAAGATAGGAGTCTAGGCAAACCCCACGCCCCCAACTCCTCCATCACCCTGTCTCCTGTGTGTGTTTAATCAGGGCAGAGCAGCGTGGTCCACAAAACTAACAAGGTGATAGGAAGTGGTGAGTATATGTGTGCATGCCCGTGTGTGTGCATATGCAGGCATGCATGTATGCACACATATGTGTGTGCACATAGGCGTGTGTGTGTGTGTGTGTGTGTGTGTGTGTGTGTACATATATGTGTGCTTGTATGGGCATATGCATATATGTATGTGTACATATATGTGTGCTCACGTGTGTACATATGCATATATGTGTGTGTACATGTGTGAGTATACATGTGTATACATGTGTGCATTGTGTGTGTGTGCATGTGCGTTTGTGTTGCTGGGAATCAAACCAAGGGACTTGTACCACTGGCCTGCACCACTCTAGCCCTTTTTGGGTTTGGTTTTGGGTTTGGTTCTATTTTGTTTATGTTTTCTTGAGAGGTAGTCCCACTTGATCTTGAATTCACAATCTCCCTGCCTTAGTTTCCATGGTACTTGGATTACAGGTGTGAGTCACCACGTCCAGGCCATAATATAATTAGATTTAACACATCACATAAGACCCCCAGGATTATGACCAGTACTAGATTCCACACGATTGTCTTCAACTGCAGTAAAAGTCTGAGGATCGCCCAAATGATAAGTCCTTTGATCAGCTCAGTAGGAGGAACCCCAGAAACCACAGTCCTTATTCTGAGGAACATGGAGAACACCAGTTAAATCTGAAGGTTCCCCCCTTAACCCAATGAGCCAACTACTAGGCCTCTCATTTTATTGTCTCAGCACTCAGCTTAAAAGCAAACAAACCAAGAAACTAAACACCCCAGCTGAACTTGTTGACACCACCACAATCCAAGCACTAAGGGGCTAAAGCAGGACATCCAATCACTCCAAACCAGCCTGGATGGCACAGTAAGCAAGACTTCATCTCCAGCCGGACAGTAGTGGCACACACCTTTAATCCCAGCACTCAGAAAGCAGAGGCAGATGATCTCTGTGAGTTCAAGACCAGCCTGGTCTACAAAAGCTAGTTCCAGGACAGCCTCCAAAGCCACAGAGAAACCCTGTCTCAGGGGGAAAACAAAACAAACAAACAAACAAACAAAAAAACGGCTTCTTCATCTCCAGGGGATGAGGGCTCTGTGCTAACCACGCACGGCTGGCACTCACAAGGCCTGTCAGAACCCCACACATCCCGGGACACCTCTTCTAGAGTGAGGACATTTGTACACCAAACTTCTGGACCATCTCCCTGGCAACCAGTGATGTTGGCTGAAGAGGTGTCACCTACTTAGCACTGCCATCAATTCAAGGGTTAGAGAACAAGGCAGCAGCCCAAGGTCACACACACTTAACACTTAACTGAAAGACACAGAACATGGATGTTTCCTTGGTCCACACACCAGAGGACAGTGATGGGGGAGCTTGGGGCTTCAGGGCTCAATCCAAGGAAGGACCAACAAGTCATCACAGGGTCTTAACAGGGTGAGTGTGCAAGCCTGACTCTTGTGGACGAGGCACCCTGGCCTTCTACTCTGCACCACATCTCCTACCCATGCACCCCGAAAGAGCACACAGCCCAGCTTTTGGACCCCTATGCTCACCACTGGCCATGCCCAAAACAATCCCGCCCACACTGGACCTTTGTGACAGTCCCCATGCTCTGGGCTGCTTTGTCCCACCACTCTCTCCAGTCTGGACCATCTCATCTGCCCCTTCTTACCCTGGATGTAACAGATGGGTGCATGCCAAGGAAGAGCAGGGGAGCACAATCAACTGGGCTTGAATTTTCCTGGGTTCCAACATATGAATGTGGACCAATGTGTCAAGTCACAGGTGAGGCAGAGCTGGGCACCTGGATGAAGAACTCCAGACAACCCCAGAGAAGCCACTGACTTACCACATTCACTTTGGCTATTTGGCTTCCAGTCTCCTCCTCCAAAGAAACCAGAGACCATGACAGAAAGTCAAACAAACATGTCTCTCAATGAAGTTAGATCCTGACATCCCCTAAGTTGAAAACACGCTTAAGTAAAAAACACATTCAATCTATTTCACCTTTCTGAACATCACAGTTGACCTCAACGTGTCCAGACTTCCATTATCCCAGAGGTGCATGGAACCATCTAGCACAAAGCTTGTTTTATCATAATCTGCTAGTCAAATATTTATTGAGTCTGTAATCCCAGCACTTAGGAAGTAGAAGGATCATCTCGAGGCTGAGGTCAACATGAACTACATGAGATCTCATCTAAGAGACTGGGCCAGCAAGATGGCCCAGCAGGCCCAGAAATGACTCTGTTATTCTGACCGCTACACATTCACTGTGGCCCATAGACCCCCAACATAGAATAAATAAATGCAAAATAAGTTAAACAAAAACACATGCTGAAGAGCTTAGAGGCATGCACACACACACATGCCACAGAGATGGGTGGTGCCCTGGTAGATAGGCCAGGATGAAAGATCATAGCTGCTACCAAACGTCATCACCCTCTCACCACCATCCGGTGGAACCCTGATACGTGGGTGACTTCCCAAAACTGGGATCCACATTAAGTGGAAATTTTTATTTAAAAATTTTTGTGCATGTTGTCTGTGCGTTTGTACGTGAGTGTGCTGGGCATGGGGCGGTGAGGGGACAACTTTCACAAGTTGGTTCTCTCCTTTGATTACGTGGGCCTCAGAGCCTGAACTCAAGTAGTCAGTCTCGGTAACAAGCGGGGCTGTGCCTGCTGAGTCATCTCTACAACCCAGCATTAGGCTTCCTGAAGTTGTTTTTGACTTAACTGGACAGCCTTTGCTTCCGTGTGTACCGAAGTCATTACGCATTCTGAACCTGGGAGGCCAGGTGAGCAGCTGCAGCTGAGATGTTTCCCAAGAGTCTGTAGTTACAATGGCTAAGTGTGTGAAACTTCTGAGACCAGAATTCCAATGTCTGTATGTGCCAACTGGGTAAGAGCCGCGATCCCACACTACTTCCCAAAGGCAGAGAAACGGGTGACTCTCAACACCCCAAATTGTGATCACCCGCTGTGGGCTACACGTAGGTGATATTGGGGTGATCACACCAGCCAACCTCAAGTCTACCTCCACAGAGTCTAGCTTCATCCTTTCCTTCCTAGCGCTTACCAAAGCCTGCCATCATCTTGCATACTAGTCTGATGAGCTCTATAGGACTCCAGTGCCCAAAACATGCCACGACGGAAGGATCCAGATGGACATGGTCTTCGTTGCCTCGCGGCCCTTACATTTGGTGAAGGGAGGCATACATACATACATACATACATACCTACATACACACACGCGCACGCACACATAAATACGTGTGTGCGGACGTGTGCGTAGAATGTATGTGAACACAGTGCAACAATGCATAAACTGTGCACACATATTTGTGTAACGTGCACCTTCTAATTCACGTGTGCATGCTTGCATGTATACAGTGCACCTTTGCACACACACAAACGTATACACCAAGTGTGTGGACTCCACAGAAAGTGTGCATGGGACTCCTGGGCTGTAGCTGGCTGCCTCGTGGGGGGAGGGGCTGGCGAGCAGGGGACTCGGGCAGATTCCATGCACTGGCTCCACATGCATGCATTAGGCGCCTGGTGCACGCGGGCCTCAGGCGGACAGCGTCCTGCCCTCAGGGCGCGTCCCTTCCGGCGCCGGGCGCTGAGTGACAGCTCCCGGGCCGGCCGCCCGCTTACCTCGGAACTTGAGCTCGTGCTGTGGCTCGAGGCTCAGGACCTGCTCCACCTTCGCCATGGTCCTCCCTGTCCGGTGCAGCGGCGCGGGCGGCAGGGGGGCGGAGGCCTGGGCGGCTGGGCTCAGGGGCGGAGGGCGAGGCCGCGGTGCCAGGCGGGCGTGAGGCATGCACACACGTCCTTAT